TGTTAATCTCTTACCCTCAGTTTTTTCATCTATAAAATGGGAATAACACTTCTATGCCTCACAGATTTGTTATAAAAATGAAAGCAGATGTAATTGGCGAAATGAATTAAGCTCCTAGCGTAGCGCCAGGTGCAATGTGAACATTCTCTCCATGTAAGCGTCATCTACTGCCCACCCTTCACAGGAATGCTTTATTCAGAAAAATATGTAACAGAGAAAGCACAGGGAAAGAATGCAGGAAAAACACCAATTGAGTATGCCGTGCTGGAACAAAAATACCATTTACAGACCTAAGGATTACTGAGCTTCCTACTCTTAAGTGTTTTATACAATTAATCTTGTTTAATCTTTACAAAAATCCCACAAGGTAGGTATATTTATCCCTGCTTTACAGATGAGAAACAGAGGCTCAGAGAGGTTAAATGACTTACCCAAAGTCACACTGTTAGCATGTGGTGGAACCGGCATTTGCATCCAGGTTTCTAGAAGTACAAAAATCCACATGCTACCTGAGTCCCTCACTCGAGGTAGTATCCACCCTGCAGCTGCCATCGGTCTCTCCTGACCATGAGCTGCGCTTGCACTGCACACGTGTCTGCAGCATGTGGGACTGTTTTGCATCTTTTAGACATATATACACAAATGCCATTATGCCATAATTACCTTTTTGCAAACTGTTTTTTGACTAAACATTGTATTTTTGAGATTTAGCCATGTTAAATATGTTAGACCTAGTTCATTTTAAACACAATTTAGTTTTCTATCATATGACTAAACTATAGTTTATTCAGTTTGCTACTATTAATAATAGACCAAGATCCCCTTTGTCAGTTTCTCATTATTGCAAGCAATGCTGAAATGAACACCGTTATTTATATATATAAATATAGACTTTATATAAATATAAAATAACACACATATGCAGGAGTCAGTCTCTCTGGACCACAGGATGAAAAACTATGGGCTTCAGGCCAAATTCAGTCTATTTTCTGTTTCTGTAAATAAAGTTTTACTGGAACTTAGCCACGTTCATTCATGTATGTATTGCCCATAATTGATTTCAGGCTCTAACAGCAGAGTTGATACAACAAAGACCATGCAGCCCACAAAGTCTGATGTGCTTACTCTCCAGCCCCTACTCCCTTACTCTCCTCTGCAGCTCCCCCTCTCTAGACTGTACACCTAGGAGTGAAGCTGGGTCTTGGGTTCTGTTCACCATGAACTTAACTGAGTGCCGACAGCACACAATTTGTTATCCAACTGATTTCCTGATACTGGAACGGTTGAGCATATTTTCAAATGCTTAATAAACATTCAACAATAGCATAATTATTTATTCAATAAATATTTGAGTCCCCATTCAATCAGACACTATTCCAGGTGCAAGAAATACAATGGTGATCTAAATCAGCAGAAATTTACAAGTGTTTACAATGTTTTTTAAGATCAGGGAAGAGATTTTGCAATATGATGATGAGTAAAAGAAGCATTTATTTATTCATTAAAACATACATTGAAAGCTTGCTTTGCACAAGAGTACACACGGCACCACGGGCTGTTGTGTAAGACCCGTCCCTTGCTCTCAGGAGGGCAAAATACCACGTATAGACAAGCATGATCTCATTACGTGTTTTAAAAAATATTAGGAACTAGATTCAAAGGTTAATAATGGTTTATGTGGAATTACAGGTGATTTTCATTTTCTTAATACTTTCTAGTGTTTTCCAAGTTTCTTCTATGAGCATGTTATACAATTGTATTTATAACTAAATATAAAAGATATTCTTTGTTAAGACCGGGGTTAGGAAACCGTGATGTCAGGCTATTGGAGCCCAATCTCTTTGTGTGTGTTTTCTGTGTGTGCACCAGATAAAAAGGAGAATAATAAGGCCAGAGCCCAGTGCTGCCTCAGTCACCTTTGTTCCTTGGGTCACAGTTTCAAGACCTCTCTGTATCACACTCCTTGGAACCCAGGGCCTAGAACTAGTAAACAGTTCCCAAAACTTCCTCAGGCTTGGGCCCTTGTAAAGCTCAGCCCTCTCTGGAACCAGAAAAAAGGAAAGGCCAACTTTGCAGGAGCTCTGATCCTGTTACTAGCAGTGACCTTGGGTCTGGGCAGGGTACACAGACACATCTTTGGCTGACAAAAGCAGCATCAGAAAGGCTGTGAGTCTCTCTTGGTAAACTCAAAGGTGCAGAGGGCAAAGAGATGAGGAGTCTTAGTACCCTAGCTAAACTAATCCCCATGTGGAAACATGCTTATTCCACCCTGCCCTGTATTAAGAACATAGGTCTCACTGTATTAAGAACATAAGTTCAGAAGCCAGAAGTATAAGCTGGAAGACAGAGACATAAATGCGATCAGCACACAATCTTACTTCTGCTCCTATTTTCAGTTTATTAGCTATATTCCAATATATCCCAGCTCTGGTTATACTAAAGAGGAGAACATAAATTCCCAAACCAAAGACCCTCAAAACTTTATAAGAAGAAAGATAACAGCACAACTTTTTACTAACGCCATATTGGCAACGTAGGGGGATGTGTTGCAAGGTCCCAGTTAAAAGACCACAGAACAGTTACTCTTATCTTTTAGGCGGAGAAGCTGCCTCTGAAGGAAGACTACAGATCCCCCATACATGATAAAACCCAGAGCTTAGCAACTGGTGGAATTCTAGGAAGACAAAAGGGTCATGAGAATAATACACGGTAATATTACATATACGTGGTAATGTTAACCTGCCTTCTCTACTACTCCACCTCCCAGGCCTCCTAGGTTCCACCCACTGAAACTATCACCTACAGCAAATATAGGATCAGCTATTACCAAGAACTTTTAAGGATTAGATAACCTGGGAAAAAACACATTTGAAAGCCATAAAGTGCTAGTAATAAAATAGCTACCATTTATCTGGGTGCTTTCTGTACCAGGTAAGACGATAAGCACTTTCTATCATTTTTACCTTCTTCCTCACAAAAATTGTGCTAAGTTGGATCTCATTATCCTCATTTTATGGAAAAGGAAAATGCAGTTAAGTGGCTTGTGTAGGCCAAAGAAGAGGATTCCAACCCAAAGCTTTTCCACAACACCAGCTTGTCTCATCAATGTAAGAAATGACTATGATTAGTAATCTCAAATGTAGAATAATAGTCCATTCCTACATAGAACCTGGCACCTCTTTTTAGCACACTGTGACTAAACAAGAGTACTAGGCTAGGGACATGCGGGGGACTCAGTCATTTAAAGGCTCTACCTTGAATGCAGGGGTACCCTAAGCCAAAAGGACAAGGTATAACCTTCCCAGTTCTCTGCCAACCCTGACCAACCCTTGCCAAGGAGCAGGCCCCTGTGCCTGGCCTCTTCTTCTTCCCCCACTCAGATAAAAATAGCAGAATGCATGTAAGGTATCCAGATCTGGAAATGATGATAATTAGCTGTCAGGGTCTTCCCTCCTTGCCTGGGGCCAGTGAAAAGCCACAGGCCCTCTGCAGCACCTGGCCCCTGACCCCTGGGCTCCAAGATTGAGGTAGGGAGTTAGCCTGGGGCCCAGGAGTCATTGCTGCTGCTTCTGCCCACAAGTCTCTCCAAGTCCTAGCCCCCACACAGTCACCCCTGGGTTTGAGCACCTAAAAGCAAATGTCATGCCTTTCCCCCCAGAGCACTAGATCCTAAGACCAATCAACCGTAGCACCAACCCTTTTCTTGTAGCAATACAAAGGGTGGTACCTGACAGCCTGTGCCTTGAACCAACAGAGGCCAGCCTCTGACCACACTAGCCTCAGATAAAGGCAACCTCCGCCCTCTTCCCAACGTCCACAGCATCAGTGCCTATCCACGAAACAGGCCAATGGCTTCCAATCTCCTCAAAGTGTCCCCAAAAGTGCCTACCTTACAGTAGGTACTTACTATGAGTTCCCTCTTTGCCCCACTTCCCAGCCCTGCAGAGCGAGGAGGGGGGTTGATGATCACATTCCTCGGACCCAGCCCAAGACAAATCACCCTGAAACGCCTATTTCAGCTCAAAGTAAGGACCAGTGAACCCTAGAACTTTCCCCGCTGCCCAAGCCGGCAACAGTACCAAGCCTCAGACCCTCAAGACTTAATTCAAGTCACCCCCGACTGAGATTTTCACCCCAGACTCTGATCCAGAATACCGCTCCCCGGCCCGATCCCGTTGGAACCCCCAGACAGACCCTGATCGATAGAGCCCCAACCCCCAACCCGGCGCGGCCGAACCCCTGACCATTGGCCCCGTGCGGAGAAACCCCTCAGGCTCGCGCAGCGACCCTCCCGGTCCCGGGGGCGGTGGACCCCTGGCAGGCACAGCGGCCTCCGCCCGCCACCTCCAACCCCGCCGGCAGGCCTGACCTTGTCGGAGCTCGGGGTCGTCCAGTACGTTGTAGGCCGTGTAGTCGCGGACGCCGTGCAGCCGCAGGATCTGCACCACGGCGTTGCTGAAGCCGCATTGGGGCTGCTCCGGCGTCCCCTTGAGGAAAACCACCACCTTGTCCTTCTTGACCAGCGCGTCCAGCTGCTCCGCCGAACCGCTGCCGCGAGCGCCCGAACCCGCCGTCCGCACGCCCGGACTCCGCAGGCCGCCGGCGCCGCCCGCGCCGCGCCCCCAGCGGAGCAAAGCCGCCGCCGCTCGGCCGAGGGACCCGCTCATTCCCGAACGCTCGCCGGAGCCCTCGATCGACTCAGACCTCGGCTTGCAACTCGACTCCCTCCCCAGCCCGGGCGGCCCGCCCCGCCCCCGGAATCCCTGATTGGACCGGCCCCGAACTGCTCTCCGTGATTGGACAAAACTGGCCCGCAATTACTCAATTCTACCAATGATGTTGCTCGTCCCGCCCAGTAGGTGGGAGGTGGTCCTTATGCCTGAGCTGCATCCTATCGCCTTACAATTGGCTGTGGGCAACTGTTTTGTCAGTTGATTGGACAAAGTGGATGTCCATCAGGGTCACGCTCGCAGGGCAACGAGAGGCAAAACCAGGGGGAAGACGACTTTCCTCTCGAGAGCCGACGGGGCCAGCTGGGATACTCCGGGACGCCTGAAAAAGGCGCTGGGCGGGCTCTCGCCCGTTTCGCGGAACGCCGGGAAGGGGTCACTTCCAGATGAAGGTTCCGGTTCCGGTGTCGGCGGCTGTTGCATTGCCATGGCAACCCGGTTGGCTGGCGCGTGGTGCCAGCATTCCGGGAGGTGGTGGGACTAGGGCAAGCCGGCGTCCCCCTCTGCCAGCCTAGGTGAGCGTCTCCGGTGCCCCCGGAGGGCCGCGGCCGAGTGTGGTCCGTCGTAGGGGGGAGCTGGGGCCTGCCTGGGGCTTCCGGCGCCGGGACTGTGGTCTCGCTTCCTGAACCCTCCCTCGGCCCCTCCGTCCACGTGGGAGCTGAGGCTCTGGCCTGGCCCTGGGGCTCCGGCCTCTGGCGCGGGATTCTCTCTCTAGAACAACTTCTCTTTTAAAGTCTTGTAAAGCGCTCGTGCCTGTGTGATTTCTTCTGGGTTTCGAGCCTCATTGGCCTCCCAGCCCACGGAAGCCCTTGGGCCAAGGCTCAGGAAAGATTTGTTGAATGGGGAACCAAGAAGTGACAAACGTTTCCGAAGCAGGTGCTGGTTGCGAGGCGCTGTACCGGCGCAGAATCTTCTGGGAGACCTGATGCCCAAAGCTTGGAATCAGCGTGAGAAATGAGAAGCAGATACAAACCCGTGTGGCAGTACAGAGGAGAGAAAGAAAGCTTCCTTAGGCCAGTTGCTTGCTCTGTTCTCCATTGTAGTTGTCATTGTTTGACATATGTTGTATTTACTCGCTTGTTTGTTGACGTCTCTCCCAGGCACTCGACGTTATTCACTGCTGTATCCTCAGTGCCTAGGACAGTGCTTGGAACGTGGTAGGTGGTCATGTTGGTGGAAGGAATGAATCGAGGAGAGCAGGACTCAGTGGAATTGCTGTGTAATCTGTAGTCTTGGAGCCGCACAGGGTTGGTGCTACCCTGGAGCACACCAGACTTGCAGAAAAAGCATACCCCAGAGGAAGCTGAGGCATGCCTGCTCAAGCGCCAGCGGTTCCATGTGCAATTTTCCTCTGATAGTTCCTAGGTACTGTTGCCACGGTGATAATGACTGTGCCATGTCATTATCTATTCACCAACAGTAAGAGAAGCTTGGCAGTCGAGATATTGTTTAGCAGATGGAGTGGTTTCTGTTGGACACTAAGTACTGCTACAAATCACTTTTAGAGACCTTGAGTATTTTTTTAAACGTTGCTGGAGGTGACCAGCATTTATCCTTTGAGAGTGCTCGCATTTAAAATCAATTTTCGTTGATTGGTTGTTTCAGTTATTGTTTTGGCTTGAACTTGGGGGGGGTTAACTTTTGATTTTAACTTCGGGCCGTTCCCCGGAGTTTTTCTTTGTTTTCTTTTTTTCCCCCCCCCCATTGTTATTGTTGCTTGTTGATTTTCTAATGTGGGACAGAAAATGGATTAGGTGCTTAAAGAATCTTTTTGTTTTTCAGATTCATTGATTCCTAAATCAGAGGAACAAGCATCATGAACAGAAATATATAGAAAATGCTGTTATGTTGAAGCATAACTTGTTTCAGAAGTCCAGCATCTGGTGCACTTAACAAGAGAGCATATATTAAATTCTTTCCAAAATCACATTTTGTTCGTGCTTATATCGTAGTACATTTTTTGTTTGTCTTTAAGTAAATATTGGTGATTTGTCCCTGAAAACCTAAGTTGTTTTTTGCTGTCAACCTTAATAACAAACAGGCTCCCCAAAAGAAAATGATATTTATACAGGAAAAGGGCATTGCAGTGGGAGAATGTGTGCCATAGTAAACTATGTTTGTATTCAGGGAGGTAAAGGAAGACAGGTTTTTGAAGGAAAAATGAGGATGATTACATAATAGTCTTGAGGTAATTATCCTTGGCTACAAGGATCAGTAATGAGGGTGACAGCAGTCCAAGGTTGGAAAGGCAGTTGCTGGGCAGATGTCCTTGCAGGCATATTTTTTGTGTAAGGTTGTGATGGCCTTTGTGCAAGTTTGCAGTTTTTGTAGAGTCTTTTGTGATCGATTTTGTTATTAGGCATTTATGCATGGGAGACCTCTTCATGGCCTTCCCCAGGTCTGTTTGTCACTTTTCTTTTAATACAAGTGACTCCATTTTGATTCTGGCAGCTTTCACATTGCCCACTCTAAACCGTCTAAATCTGCCTTTGTGTTGCCTGGAATAGGGAGAAGAATTTGCAAGCTTATATTCTGAGGACCTGGGACATAGAACAGTAATGGGGAGTGTCACACCCCTTACCTAGAGTATAATACTGGCTTCAGAAGCACAGTTGTCTTTTTTAGTTGTTACGTGTGTATTAAATTGAAAATATAACTGTCATTAAAGATTAAGGGTAATCTGTGAGCAGGAAGAGTATAAAGCCTGTGGTTTTCAAAATTATAGTGGAGTTGCTGTGTTATGTAGGATATAACATACAGTATATGAGATGCTAAGGATAGGAGAAAGCATGTTGGTGCTCGTTGAAGGAGCTGAGAGGGGACGTCTTTGATAGCATGAACAGGAACAGGGAAGCAAATCATGTATCTAAAGTGAAGAAATTGAAACAATACATTTAAATTTTTAGTAAAACCCAACCCAAAATACAGTGAAATGTCTATTGTATATGTTAAGCAGATTTTTTTCCTGCCTTTGGTTTAATGCCACTCTTGGAGTATTAGCACCAAGCATCCACGATTTTAAGAAGCAAAGAAAACAGTATTTAAAATATTTCTTCCAAAGCATCAAACTTTTGTATATAATTTGGCATTTTAGTTTTGAGATTTCTCTTTAGAAAACCTGTAATGAAAACATGACAAAATATACTTCTTAAATAAACAGTTGTCTTTAATCTGCACCTATGCTCAAATATTTTAGAGTATTTTGAACACAAGCAAATAGTCTATGTCAGTTTGTGATCTCTGCCTGTGGATATTAATGGGGAGGTGGGGATGGGAAGTACACAGAAACTTATGAGAATCCTGGGATTTTGGTCACAAAATGCAATTAAATTCCAAACTAATCATGCCACGTAAATGTGCTGACTCAGGCATCCTAAAAATGTTTTTTCTTCCCTGGGCTTATTTATAGATAAGGCGTCACTATATTTGGTAAAGCTCTTTCCTACCAAATTGTCCCAAAGCAGATTCACCATTGAATCCAGAGTGAAAATTCTCACAAATCTGGGATCGATTGGTTCTTCCTTTGTCAGCCTCACGTGAAGAACTAGCGTGGGATTATTGAGCCTGAGCTAACGCTTGACCTGAACGTTCAGCATGTCAGTGTTTCCATCCCTTTCCATTCATCCTCAGCGCTGCGTTCTTGTTTGTTCAGCAGTGCCCAGGTCTTAGAAAGTGAGAGTGTATTTCTGTGTACAAGAGCATGTGATAGAGAAGTGTCTCCGTCGGGGCTGGCCAGAGTATTCTGCACGTGTCATATTAAGAGAAAAGCGGCTGCTTGGGTGGACAAGGGGCCGAGCCACCAAACATTCCTGAGCTAAAATAGTGTCCGGGACTCAGAGTTCCGTCGATTTCAGCTGGAACCTGAAACCTTTCTCTGGTGCTCTTAGCTATTATTCAGTAATTTTAGATCTTCACTGCAGCCCTGGAATCAATTGGATTCCCTGGTGACACCAAAAATAATATAATGTGCGAGAAAGCAAAGCAAAACCCAGCCCACCAAGAGAGTTTTTTGAATCCCTAATGCAGAGACAGAAATGCCTTTTGGATTTTGACTACCGCTATCTGGCAAGGCAGCTGGTTTATTAATACTTCCCTGGCCATGGGAGTGGCCTCAGCTCTGCTAATCGCTGGTGCCCACATGCTGGAGGCAGGCTGGAGGCAGGAAGGCAGGCCCTGCTCTCCTTGCCTGCACTCAGAGTACTGGGTGAGTGAAGAGAAACGGTGTGCAGTAGATGAGGTTAGTTCAGTCTAGAACAGACCATGGGAGATAGGTGATGATTTATGAAAAGCCCAGATGGTGGAACAGAACCTGATTCTGTCCTGAGTTCCAGTCCTAAACATCACTAAATACTCAGGAGTTCTTTTTGACTTTCCTCGGATTTTTCCACACCTCCTATTTTCCCCCTCATGGATTTTTGAAAACTATTTGTGCTGTCTGCTGAAGGTTATACGTATTTCAAGATTTCTTTATATGAGGGCTACAGAGTTACAAGGGGTCTATTTGCACTCTATCCCTCTGCTCCTCTATATTTACCCCAAAATGATAGTCTTGCAATTATCTTGTACTTTTTTATTCTTTAAACCACCTTTGTCTGTTATATATACATGAGTTCATTTGAACCTTACATTAACCCCAGGATAGCAGTTATCAGATATTTTGGTCTCCAAATTATGTTCTCTTTCATATTTATAACATCTGTTGACAGACATTAGCACTTTGTGTACCTCTGTAAGTTTTGTTGCCTTCACGTGCAGTTTTTGTTTTCCTGCTGAACCATAGCATCGCCAGCAATTCCTACGGAAAATTAAGTATCTCGGCTATCTTTGGTAGCTCTGCATGTGTATACAGTGAATGCAGAGATGATTTTTATGCTTTATAAAATCACAGTGACAACGATTTCAACCCAAAGATCCTATTTTAAAAACCCTAAGCCATAGCTTTCACTTCTGACAGTTGTGTCCTCTCGTCCCCATGCTGCTTTCTCATTGAGGACTGAGCTCCTTGGCTATATGCCTTCAAAGTCACATCTGCTGGCCTTTGTTCTATTGTGAGCCTTATTTAATTCCTAGGAAAAGAGCCTGAATCTCCTGTAAAGTGGTGTTAAGAACGAAGTGGTAATCATAAAACTTGTTAAGCCTTTTGATTAAAGGTGATGAAAGAATTGTTGACTTTTCCTCAGCTGACTGTTTAATGAATTTTAATGTTTTGTTTTATGTGTGTCTATTTTTACCAGCAGATAGTTTCTGTAACTCAAATTATTAATTACATTCTAAAGACTTCTGAAAAGATCCCAAGACCACAGAGTATAAAAAGCAAGGAGCCAGTGCTGTTGTGTGTCAGACCTGTTAGGAAGATTTATCTGTTAGCGGAAGTTTATATCTGCCTCTGATAGTCACTGAGTTTGCAGCCAGAAGAACATTTAGGAAGTTTAACTGTTTTCATTTGAGTAATTACTAAGATGTATTGCCAAGGCCATAAATACTCTTTACTGTGAGTCAGAATTTCACTTTGTGCTTCAACCTTTGAGCCTTAATCATTTCATGCCTTCAAAATTAAGTCTTGCTCTTGTGAGAATCCAAGCTCCAGCCTTCTTCAACAATTCATCTAGCAAAGAGAGAGAAATTCGCCCCAGTTTCATGGTGAGGAAGGGATGGCTCAGCTTAGAAATGGGATGAGACATTCTTTGCAGTAAAAAAATGGAGGATTTTGAATAATATTTTTTCTGTTTTGATGGCCAGAAAAATTCTATTTGTTAATTCTAAACTTTATATTTTTTGAAAGTGTAGCCTAGTGAGATATTATTAGTATCAAATTTCAGTGGTCCAGAGTTTCAAAGAGTTTTAATCAAAGACATATCATAAACCAATTATATTCTGTTTAAGAAAAAAAACAGAAAAAGGGAATTTTTTTTGAAACAGGCTTACTTGCAAAATTGGGTAACCGAAAGAATTTTGTATTAAAAGTCTTAAAGTTCAGAGAACAAGCCTGTGATTAAAAAAAGAAAAGTCTTGAGAAGCCGCCATAATTAGCGTACCTTCTTCCCGCTCCAGATGTACGGTGATCTGACATTTTCATGTAGCTTTATCAGTGCGGCCCTAACAGGACACGTCGGTCCAGCTGATGTGATATTCCCTTTGGTTCATCTCTTCCCTGTGATCATTCACACATACTGTTGGCTGTCTGGGTATAGGGCCAATACTATCCTCTTACTTGAAGAAATTTTTGCTTGTGTTCAAAAATACCACATCTTTCGTTGGGAATAATAGTAAGAAGAGTTAAAACACACGCTTTTTTTTTTTTTCAGAAAGTAAAAAGAATACATCTTTCAAAATCATTCTGTCGAGAAACTTGGGGCATTTTATAAAGCGTCTCTGTCCTACCCGGCAAGGCAGGCAGGGGGCACTAGGCTGTTTTGCTTGGGAAGCTGGGGCAGCCAGGAGCCAGGAAGGGCCGCCCGCCCCGTAATTACACACAGTGCCTGGGACTTAATCAGTTTGCCCACTTCTAGGAGGGGTCCCTCGGTTCTCACGCAAGGCCTATTATTTTAGGGAAGGGCTGACTTGCTTAGTTTTCTAATATAGCTACAACGAATTAGAAGCAGTAAATTTAAAAGGCTAACACTAAAAGAAGGAAGAAGAAATGACTGATAGGTCAACAGGAGATTAAAAAATAAGCAGCAGACATTCTGGAATTTTTTTTTTAAAGCAGAATTCTGAGAACATTTGATACAAGAAGGGGCACACAACCTTCACAAGGGATTATTCCCTGTGCGGTAGAGCCTTGTGTAATGTTTCCAAGTAACCTCGAAAAAAATTATTTCCACATACTCGGGGTAAGAAGTCAAGGAAACATACAGTTTATTTAGCTTCCCAGCAAAAATTATACACACAGAGTTTAAGGTTAGGTTTATGTTAAAA